TATGCAAAATACATGTCTAAATTACTAAAAACACTCAATGATCTTTACACGCCAAAATAACCAAAATGACGAACACTTCAAATAATTGCCATTAGAGATTTCAACACACATCAAACATATTCTTTGTTGAGGTTCTTGTCCTGACAACTCTTTAAAAGTTGACCAGCCAGTCGACTAACATGATCAGCATGTTCAAAGTTTTTCTGATTGATTGTTATGAATGTTTTCTCGTAAGATTGATGCACATGTACATCGAACTGTTTTCTTGCTAACTGAAGCTTCAAACACCTATCATTAGGAAACGTGAAACTATTACAAATACTTTACTCGTTTTATAGATAAAGGGCTACCATCGTGTCTATAAGTTTCTTTCCATACCATACGAGATGGACGGGTGTGGACAAAAAGCTGAATTACCAAACGAGAACACCGATAAAGACATGATTTCAACGAATACAAACGATCTTTTTGACCATCTGAAAAGTTCGGAGGTTGACGTAAAGAAACGTCAATCATCGGAAGACCAATCCCGTTCATGGAAGTGCTTTCGCCCTCGAGTACAAAGCTCCTCGTCGTTTTCTAGTGAAAGTAGTTCCTCTAGTATGGACGATCAAAGAAATGATTCTTATTCAATATCCCTGATGAATGATGATGACGACATTACAGTGAATTCTTTATTGGACTCAGTTGACTACTCAAAATCCGTCATGACCAATCATAACAGACAAAACCTCATACCTCCAACAGACATCGACGACATTACAGTGAACTCTTTATTAGACTCAGCTGATTCCCGAAAATACGTTACCGAAAATTTCCAAGCGTTAACTGATTCATCTTAAAAATGAGAACTGCCCAAGGAGATTTTGCGAGACAAAAACTTGATCACTGGTCCTACGACACAAGAACGCATTTTATTTTAAATATGGTTAGCACCTGTGTGATCACGTATCATATATTTTTTAACGGACTCGGTCGAATGAGCTTCCACTTTGATCTGGTGAAAAACATTTTCATTTATGGCAACACTGAAATATTATGGATTTGGATTTATTCATTTTATCGAATTGCGGAATTTATAACAGCAATACTTAAATCTCGTTGCGATACCAAGGCTACGGTTTTTATTGTCGACGCACACGTCATACATATGTACGACAGTAGGAATTATTTGTTGGTACTTGAAGTGGCATAAAAAGCTACGAAAATCATTACTGACACATGACTTTAACAAATTAAAGTACGAGATCATTTAGGGACATTCACTCGGTGGTTTAATAAAAAACTAGTTCAAGCTTAAAGAATGTGTGAACCAAGATACGTTGAGCACTTTTGTTCATGTTTACATCGTTACTTTTTGAGCTTGCGGAACACTGAATTCAATTTCGTCACCAACGTCGCCAACTTTATTTGAAAGTTAGCAAATTGACTAAAACCTTATTTTACATCAATTATTATCGTTTGACTAACTTGCATAGGCTGCAATAACAAAATCCGCCATTTTCTCGACACTCAAAATGGCCGACACGCTGTGATTAACGCGAAATGCATCTTGGTCGACACACATTCTTTAAGTTCATAATGCGAATATAAAAGCAATTGAAAATTGACATTCAAATACAAATTCTCTTCATTGTCCAGCATATAAGTATAACAAGAAATTTTCGTGTATAATATATATTTGCTGCATATGAATTGAATGGAGAAGTGTTTTTTAATAGTTTGACTGTAACAATGAATGTACTTTAAATAACCTTTGTCATGTACTTGCTAAAATCTGCGTTCATCATCAGCGCTGAATTCAAAGACAAATGATTTAGCTCTCAATCCTCTAGATGTCTAACTACCGTGTCAAGGTGAGACAAGGATGTCATCTTGAAAGGGTGGCAAAACAAAACACAAAATGAAAAATCAGCTGAAAGAAGGTTTAAAACTCAATCCTATCAAACATTTTGAAAATCAAACCTGACTATCAACTTTGCAACTGTCTATTAGCTCAGGAAAAGCAGATATTAGCCTTAAATATCGTCAGTTTGCCACCTTTCAAGATGGCGGCTTGCCTCACTCGTAACTATGGAATTTCAGCGGAATCAGCTATCTAGATTGGATTCTAGGTCATCGAATAGACCATAAATTTTAATTTAAATTACAACGATGACTATCTGTGCACGTGATTCGTTCTTGTAAAGACCACAGACCGAAATCGATGATTCTTTGAATCATTGTTACCAATGACCTTGAACCCAATCTACTAGATATCTGACTCCGTTATAGAGGGCTCTGATAGTAATGAGTGAGGCAAGATCTTAAATATCTGACGATATTACTATATCTTCTTTGCTGAGTTGATACTGATAGACAGTCACAAAGTTGATAGTCTAGGTTTAATTCTTGAAATATTTGATAGGATGAGTTTTTTAAACTTTGTTTTAATTGCCTTTTCATTTTGATTTTGCCATCTTTCAAGATGACATCCTTGCTCACCTTGACACGGTAGTAAGACATCTAGAAGATTGGGATCTAAATCATTGTTGTTACCACGCTAATGTACGAGGGGGTGTTGTAACCATGGCGCCATTAACACAAACATACTCCTTGCTGTTCGGTCTTTGCAAGTTGGAGTCGGTCGAATGAATGACAAAATGAGCTACGATTAATCAAAACGTAATTCATTGTTAATGTGATACTGTGAGAATTTTGTGATACAAAGTAGTTGTTTTCTATTACAACTTATACTAGTTGATACAAAGCATGTTTGTAATTCACCAATAATTCCAATTATCATTCCGAGCATAATCAGACACAGCGAAACCCTTTTAAAACTGTCTGCCATTGTCTTGTGATTTTCATCTGCATTTGATCCAAAGTGGAAGTCGCCCGTTTCCGACTTCTCACATTCAGCTCCTCTTTAAGTCGTTTATCAGCGGCAATCACACAATACATACCACTTCAAAACAAAACAATAATCGGGAGCAATTACCTACTACATGTTGATGAAATTACACTTGGCTTCGAAAAAATGAACGGGGTGATAATATTATACGCAGTTTCACAATATTATACGCTGTTGATATTTTACGCAGCGAATTTGTTCTCCTAATTACGTCACATCCGGTACAGAGTCTCCTACTTCTAGGCCAAAAAAGTCCATTAAGATGAAATTTTCGACCTATTAAATATGTTGCAAATTTTCTTAAAATCATCTAAAGAAGTTATTTTCCTGACACTAGTATAGGCACTTCAATATATTCCTGAAATATGCTTCGTCTTTGGAGAGTTTAAAATATCTGAAATATCAGGAAGTGGGTACTGAATACAAAAAGCGACTGTAAAATGTTACAAGTGTGATAACTATCTTCATCCGCTGGCTGGATTGTTCGAAGATGCACGCGCTGGAAGAGAAGGAACGCGCTCGTTTTCCAAACTTTATAAATGAAATTGAAGGAATTCGTAGATTTGGATCTTGAAGTTGCAAATCTTTGGGATGTTGAAAACTCGCCCACATAGTGAACAAGACAAAGACACGTACGTCAGTAGCGCAGGAAGGTAGCGCTACAAGGGGCTTAATTTTTTGTTTCGATTGAGAACCGAAATTAATTAATATTATCTTGGTCCAAATTTTACCAGGCATTCTTTCGACTTTACTTCAAATTATTATATTATTGATACACGCTGTGTTTGATGATAACATATTTTACACACAAAGACATTTTGTTTTCTGTATATATCATGCAAAGGCTTTTTGTGCTGCAAATCAAAGCAAAGGGATTTTCCCTTCACGACATCATGCTAAACGAGATAAACTTTCTCGGATGCATGTATGCATAAATCTAGTTAAGCTATCTCTGTACAACTGATCAAAAGAATGAGAACGAACTTAAATTCGAATTATGATGAATGCATAGCATGCATACATAGTACCATTTGGACCTTCCAACTACTTAATGTTCTTAATCATTGAAATACACGTTTTTATAAAAGCTAACGCATACATAGTTCTAGAACTGAAATATATGGTCGACGAATTTCGAATTTTGAGCTACGAATGCTAACGCCCGACAATGGATTTGTTTTAAATCGATGGTTTAAGATATAGGAAGTCTATAGCTATGGAGTGCTAAATTTCCTTAAAATCTTTTTTCATAGAGCGTGCTACATAGCTACTTAAGATACAGAGATCAGTAACTTATTTCAGGTTTTTTATTTACTCTTGCAGCTGTACATTTATATGGTATTAACTGCCTGAAGATACAATTCTACACAAAAGTGTGTTTTGAAAGTACCGTTGAAGCTCTAAACAAGCTTGTCGCCACCCTTACGTGAATTTCAAATGATGACATTCAATGAGAACATCATGTCAACTGGAGCGATGCTTCTGCATGTGTCTTAAGAACAACTTCTTCATACGAAATCCAAAAACTCTCAAAATCTACCCCTGATTGTAGAGAGTTTGTTTTAAACAAGGAAGTCATACTAATTACACCAAATACTCTAGATCTTTACACGACTTGTCTCCATCCGCTGACTTTAGATGTGCGTGCAATTTCGCACTGAAAATATTCCATTCATTTTAGCATCTAATGACATTAAAATACGGCAATTCAAACAGAAACGGATGTCTTATCCGAACAGTGCATCGTATACATCTGCAAAGTTATTGTATAGAATGTCTTTGGATGTGTTCGAATCAAGCTGGCTATTTCTACTTGCACAGACTGAGAGCATTCGAAGATAAATGCCCAACAGTACAAATTGTACAAGTCGACCGGATTCTGAAAAAAACAAAGTCCTTTTCATCTTTTTTTAGCACAAATAGGCAGGAATACGAATGAAGATAAGAGTGGGACGTGACTGACCCGTAAAATTCGACTTCCTTTGTGGTAGAAACAATAATGCATTGAATATTATTGTAATTATCGACATATATGAGCTGCAAAGAAACAAGATAGGGCATCGGCAAGTTTAATGACGATGAATGTAGCTATGTATGCTTGGTATTTTCTTCCGAAAATTTGCTCGTGCGTTGGCGTAGATGCTGCTGCGGAATATCTATAGAGCAGCTATCACCGATACAAGAACAGAAACGATAGATAAGATCATACCAGTACAACGTGGCAAATGAAATGTTAATGTCTGAAGAAAAATGGCCCAAGCTAAAAGTAAGTGAATTTTCTGTGTACTTATAAATCTAACCAGTATCCATTATATCTTGCTTGTCAATTTGCTGGTAAAAACTGAAACAGAACGTTTTTTAAAAGGTAATAGGCACAGTACTTTCTTGTATCTATACCATACATTATATACATAATCCTACAGTTGCATCTCTTTCACCAAACAGTGGGAGAAGAGCGATAAAGTTATGATAAACAATGCATATATACCTTGTTCGACCTCGTCAATGTATTTACACCAGCATTCACGTACCGTACAAAACAACAAATTACCAACGTCAATAATGGCCAATAACTGACTACTTCATTCACAGTGTTGGCAAAACACGGCAAGTCTATTTTCAAGTCAAGCAAAATATAACAATGTTAGTTGTCGTAAATATAAACAAAAATTGCAAATTAATATGTGAGGTATAAATGTGGCTACATTTCAAAATGAGCTGTGGTAATTTATTATAACGAACATTATATCTGCTATTGCCATAATACATTTATAACATAGTATATCTTTTTTCATGTCAATCTAAGAGTATACCTTCCTTTCACACAAGAAAATTTGTTCAAACGGAAGTTCAGAAATATTCTCATTAAGTACATACAAGTACAATGAGAAGCAAGATTTATGTCAGGAATATATTTCATTTTGCTTATTTAAGAGAGTTCAACTCCTCCTTGACTGAGAAACTTACGTTCGTTTTGAAATCAAAGGACCCCATTAAGGTTGTCTTGTGTTAACTTTGCATTGCATGGAAGGCTCGACAACATTAAAAATAAAAAAATATCTTTATAGGTTTACGAGGCCCTACAGTGGCAATTGAAATGCATCATATAGCAATAGCTTTGAAGATTATATTTGTAATTGAAAAGCCAAACGCAAATTACTTAAAGCATGACAAGTTAAGTGTTGATTCCTTTCGTGTATAGTTGGAGAAAATGAAAAGAAAAATATGATTTTCCACAGAATACCATTCATCTATGGATCATTTATCATGATTAAATTTATTGTTGTTGTTATCAAGCATTCTTACATGTTGACTTCTGCATTAAATTCTTTTATGTCATCTTACAAGAACCTAATATCTACCAGTCATGATAAATTTACAAATGCAAACATAAACATTAAACAAATAAAACTACATAAAACGACCATATGAAATTTAAGACTCCCAGTTTGTAAGGACTTAACTTTTCTTTTAATCACAGAGTCAACTTGATTTTGGACATCTCTCATTAATTCATTAGGTATAGCTTAAACCAATGGAACCTAATCTAGCTTTAGTTTTGACTCAAGAGAAGGGTATCTGTCGCCTCTAATCCAACATTCTTCAAATGATTAAGAAACTTAAAATGATAGTGGTGGAACACACGAGAGATGAGGGAGGGAGGGGCGTTGAATTACTTCATAAACATCTAGAGTAGATTTTTCAATGAGAACGAGTAAATAATTGTTTTATTATTGTGCATATAGAAAGTAAACGTAACAGCAGCAGAAAATCGCCGTATTTGTGGGAGTTTTTGTACGGACTGTTAGAAGATGAGGAGTGTAAACATGTGATAGAATGGACGAATAAAGAAGAAAGATTATTCTCAATTAACGATACGGAAGAACTTGCCAAGTTGTGGGGAACTGTAAAGAATCGACCAAAAATGGACCAGTTCAAGCTATTTCGAGCCATGAGAACCTGTTATGATAGAGGATTGCTCAAAAAGGTATGTCTAACAATGAACGAGCTCCAAATTCAAGTGTGTACTTCTTCAAGTGTTTATTTAAGCGTGTGAGTTTATAAGTGTGTAAATTTTCATTGTTGCCATGGTGTGTATGACGAAGGTTGATACAAAGTTAAGTCATATTGAAGTGAATTCCCAAGAATTCTTACCTTTCGCACAACAATAATTTTAGTACGCTTTATACATGCTGGTCTAATTGCGCATTTGACACTTTCTTGAATTTATCAATTCCAAGAATGCCATCACCAAAGAGTATCAAGTCAAATTGTATGAAGCCATCAGTTTGCTTATGAATGGTGTTTATGCAAAATACATGTCTAAATTACTAAAAAAACACTCAATGATCTTTACACGCCAAAAATAACCAAAATGACGAACACTTCAAATAATTGCCATTAGAGAATTAAACACACTTCAAACATATTCTATGTTGAGGTTCTTGTCCTGACAAATCTTTAGAAGTTGACCAGCCAGTCGACAAACATGATCAGCATGTTCAAAGTTTTTTCTGATTGATTGTTATGAATGTTTTCTCGTAAGATTGACGCACATGTACGTCGATCTGTTTTTCTTGCTAACTGAAGCTTCAAACACCTCTCATCACGAAACGTGAAACTATTACAAATACTTTACTCGTTTTATAGATAAAGGGCTACCATCGCGTCTATAAGTTTCTTTCCATAGCATACAAGATGGAGGGGTGTGGACAAAAAGCTGAATTACCAAACGAGAACACCGATAAAGACATGATTTCAACGAATACAAACGATCTTTTTGACTGTCTGAAAAGTTCGGAGGTTGACGTAAAGAAACGTCAATCATCGGATGACCAATCCCGTTCATGGAAGTGCTTTCGCCCTCGAGTACAAAGCTCCTCGTCGTTTTCTAGTGAAAGTAGTTCCTCTAGTATGGACGATCAAAGAAATGATTCTTATTCAATATCCCTGATGAATGATGATGACGACATTACAGTGAATTCTTTATTGGACTCAGTTGACTACTCAAAATCCGTCATGACCAATCATAACAGACAAAACCTCATACCTCCAACAGACATCGACGACATTACAGTGAACTCTTTATTAGACTCAGCTGATTCCCGAAAATACGTCACCGAAAATTTCCAAGCGTTAACTGATTCGTCTTAAAAATGAGAACTGCCCAAGGAGATTTTGCGAGACAAAAACTTTATCACTGGTCCTAGGACACAAGAACGCATTTTATTTTAAATATGGTTAGCACCTGTGTGATCACGTATCATATATTTTTTAACCGGACTCGGTCGAATGAGCTTCCACTTTGATCTGGTGAAAAACATTTTCATTTATGGCAACACTGAAATATTATGGATTTGGATTTATTCATTTTATCGAATTGCGGAATTTATAACAGCAATACGTAAATCTCGTTGCGATACCAAGGCTACGGTTTTTATTGTCGACGCACACGTCATACATATGTACGACAGTAGGAATTATTTGTTGGTACTTGAAGTGGCATAAAAAGCTACGAAAATCATTACTGACACATGACTTTAACAAATTAAAGTACGAGATCATTTAGGGACATTCACTCGGTGGTTTAATAAAAAACTAGTTCAAGCTTAAAGAATGTGTGAACCAAGATACGTTGAGCACTTTTGTTCATGTTTACATCGTTACTTTTTGAGCTTGCGGAACACTGAATTCAATTTCGTCACCAACGTCGCCAACTTTATTTGAAAGTTAGCAAATTGACTAAAACCTTATTTTACATCAATTATTATCGTTTGACTAACTTGCATAGGCTGCAATAACAAAATCCGCCATTTTCTCGACACTCAAAATGGCCGACACGCTGTGATTAACGCGAAATGCATCTTGGTCGACACACATTCTTTAAGTTCATAATGCGAATATAAAAAGCAATTGAAAAATTGACATTCAAATACAAATTCTCTTCATTGTCCAGCATATAAGTATAACAAGAAATTTTCGTGTATAATATATATTTGCTGCATATGAATTGAATGGAGAAGTGTTTTTTAATAGTTTGACTGTAACAATGAATGTACTTTAAATAACCTTTGTCATGTACTTGCTAAAATCTGCGTTCATCATCAGCGCTGAATTCAAAGACAAATGATTTAGCTCTCAATCCTCTAGATGTCTAACTACCGTGTTAAGGTGAGACAAGGATGTCATCTTGAAAGGGTGGCAAAAAGCAAAACAAAAAATGAAAAATCAGCTGAAAGAAGGTTTAAAACTCAATCCTATCAAACATTTTGAAAATCAAACCTAGACTATCAACTTTGCAACTGTCTATTAGCTCAGGAAAGCAGATATTAGCCTTAAATATCGTCAGTTTGCCACCTTTCAAGATGGCGGCTTGCCTCACTCGTAACTATGGAATTTCAGCGGAATCAGCTATCTAGATTGGATTCTAGGTCATCGAATAGACCATAAATTTTAATTTAAGATTACAACGATGACTATCTGTGCACGTGATTCGTTCTTGTAAAGACCACAGACCGAAATCGATGATTCTTTGAATCATTGTTAACCAATGACCTTGAACCCAATCTACTAGATATCTGACTCCGTTATAGAGGGCTCTGATAGTAATGAGTGAGGCAAGCCGCCATCTTGAAATGTGGTAAAACTGACGATATTACGACTAATATCTTCTTTGCTGAGTTGATACTGATAGACAGTCACAAAGTTGATAGTCTAGGTTTAATTCTTGAAATATTTGATAGGATGAGTTTTTAAACTTTGTTTTAATTGCCTTTTCATTTTGATTTTGCCATCTTTCAAGATGACATCCTTGCTCACCTTGACACGGTAGTAGAGATCTAGAAGATTGGGATCTAAATCATTGTTCTTACCACGCTAATGTACGAGGGTGTTATAAGCATGGCGCTTATTACCACAAACATACTCCTTGCTGTTCGGCCTTTGCAAGTTGGAGTCGGTCGAATGAATGACAAAACTGAGCTACGATTAATCAAAAAGTAATTCATTGTTAATGTGATACTGTGAGAATTTTGTGATACAAAGTAGTTGTTTTCTATTACTACTTATACTAGTTGATACAAAGCATGTTTGTAATCGCCCAATAATTCCAATTATCTCTCCGAGCATAATCAGACACAACGAAGCCCTTTTAAAACTTCCTGCATTGTCTTATCATTTTCATCTGCATTTGATCCGAAGTGGAAGTCGCCCGTTTCCGACTTCTCACATTCAGCTCCTGTTTAAGTCGTTTATCAGCGGCAATCACACAATACATGTACCACTTCAAAAACAAAACAATAATCAGGGCAATTAACTACTACGCTTTTGCGTGGAAATGTTGATAAAATTACACTAGGCTTTGAAAAAATGAACGGGGGTGATAATTGACGTCACGACCAATTATCGATGTATGCGCTCACCAGCATACACACGACCACACCACGTGTTCGAACACTGTTCTATCTCTAAATGTGCGTAACTGGTCTATTGCGTAACGTATTACAGCAGTATCAAGGTTGCAACTTTTTTGACATATCAACAACGATACAAACGTAACACAAAATTTATTCAATATGAATAATCATCAACCATAAAAGTAATGTTTTAATATTATTCACCGCTGCAGTTTCTAAATACCAGGGACAAGGTGAACGTTCTCATAGTCATACCGTACTCACATCTGGGAAGCTACATCTGGGAAGCTACCGGGCGATACTAAAACACCTTGTAACTCTATATGGAATGTTTGCAATACGTTTCTACAGCAAAGCAGTCGCTGCTAGGCTATTTTTGCTTCACACGTTATAACTCAAAACAACAAATAATGAAGTAATAGTATAAAAAGGCAAGTTACCTATTACAATCAACTTCCCCAACAAATATTCAAAAGATTAAATACGGCATGAACTAAGAAATCGAGACGTTTTTGAATAAAACGACTTTCTTTGTTAAATTTTTCTTCTCGTTAATTCACGACTGACTATCGTTTATCAGTTGCCTTAGACATGAGTCAGGAATGTTAAGATACTCGCCATTTTATTTACGTAACAATTACATGACAAATTGGAAAGAATGCGCTATCATCGAGATAAAGCTTTGCCAGAAAACGTGTAAGCAGCTTAGACTATCCAAACCCAGTGACGAATCAAATAAACATCCTATAGCAGTTCAATTTGAAATTTTAAAATTATTTCACAACGTCAACTTCTAAAGAATAATCTCTGACCAATATAATTGGGATAAATTAATGTAAAACTATTCAAGAATGAGCTGTTTAACGTGCGCTACATCCGTTTCTTTGCAGGGAATCATTTCTCAACAATAACTTGTAGACCTATATATATGTTCTAGTAACTATCGTCATAATTAAGAGTGAACGAATAATTACAGAAGTACAACAACCAACAAGTGAAAACATGTTTACAGCAACGAAATTTGCAAAAACTAATGAAATGGCTATCCACTCGATTTGTAAGTCAATGTTTATTTTATGTCAACAACTGACTTGAAAATCCTGTGAATCAGCACTCAACTACTTTTAACGTACATATATGAATAGCTGTAATATTCTCCTTAACATAAAGATACTATCTCCTCAGAACGATTGAAATCGTCTATACACTTCATTCTTCGAAACGAAACTGTAAAATGAACGAAAATATCTATAATACAACGTGATCTTTTTAGCTCTTCAGGTAAAAAAAATAACAAGAAATGTTTGAACAATGCCTTCGTGGAAGAATTAATCCAATGCCAATGAAAAGATACTGTTTGGGTAAAAGTATCCCAATGCGTAAAGGAACTGTCCAATATTAGTTTTGTTTCCTTAATTTTTGTAATTTTTCCGGCTCTCCTTATTTCGTTTGAAAAATATCGAGTATCATGTTCGCTATGAACGTAATCATTCAAGTTAGACGGAAATCCTACAAATTACGTCAGCCGACGGTGTCTCGCGAATATATTGACTTGGGGTATCGGATTATGAATAATGACCACACATGCAACAAATGAGAGTCGGTGAAAGCCCGATTTGAAAAAAAAAGCTTCGCAAGCATAAAAATGGCAGAGGCAAAATCACCAGAGGACACAAAAGCACCGAAGCAACGTATGTATAACACACACTTATAGTTACACGTCTCTATAATATTAGTAACAAATCAGTACTTTTAGAAGAAGCTATGTTACTTCTAAAACCTAAACATTTATATAATCATCACATCAATTTCATGAAAAATTTTCTCAAGACTAGATTGCGAATGCTGTGAAAATTGTTTAATGTACATAAAATAGTTCTAGAAGAAATTATCAAGCATATAATTGCTTTGTCATTGTCTCATTACTATGCATATTTGTAACACTACAAGTAAAGCTAATGAAACTGTCTTTCCATTTATGCGAAATAATCATCATGCATGTAGCTACGTTTGCCGTGATTAAGTTACGATAGTTTTTAAAAAATATCACTTCATTCTCTGACAGAAAAAATGGGGATGCTGTCATTAAAGTTTTGTAAAATTATCTCAAACCAAAGTACTCATCTCCCACACAATGTGGTGCAAGACACTCCCAGACATTTAACTCTGTAAAACTAAATAAAATTGTCATGAAATCTAACGTTATATAATCTATTTTCAAGGCTGTTTCAACTACTTTAACTGCTTAACTAGACAACAAAGTATAAACTTTGTCAATATTCTAAATTGATTTGCACTTCATGTAGTGATGGTTTAATGTTAGATACTTTTAATAGTAATCCATTTCTTACTAGTAAAACAGCATGGTTTTCTGCAATGTATGTGAAAAATAAGTTAAAATGTTGTTTCATGCTTCATAGTTGAAACACAAATGTCAGTTCTACATGTATAATTCATAAACATTTTACACACATCTTTCATCAAAATTACGCATGAAATTCCTCATATTCATGCGCTAACATGAACATAGATAAATATATGATAAATGTTTACATCACCATACAGGTAAAGCTAAGCCACCCCCACACATTGATCTGCATTTTATGCGTGTCAACATGTCGATATTTTTCAAGATGCAGCAAATTATGTGTCATTCGTCTATCGCAAAGTGAAATTTATTTCCCATATACTAAGTTATCGCTTGAATCTTTATATGGATTAACTAAAAATCAATTACATTATTTCAGCAATTAAGTCAACCCCAAAAGGAATTGCTTGTCATAAAGCATAACATTCAGCATCGAACTTAAAATACTAAATCGTTGACTGAAACATGCAGATATTGAGCTTCGCATTACTTATTTTAACTTGGGAGCATAAAGTTTACTTTAACATTCTTGTGAATGCAACTCCACAACAAGTCTCTCGGTAGTCATAAGTACGTATAACCGTCTCTGTATCTTAATATAAACCGTCAAAAATAGATTTCCTTTGCTACAAGAGATGACCAATTACGTAAATCCGAGAATTAAATGACCAATCCTATTCCTGTGTATCAATGGTTTTTACGCACATTATGACAGAGACAGCTAAACGAACGATATTACATATTGACAAAATATAAAAGGTCTTACAGTATCCAATGTTTACTTCTAAATTAAGAATTATATATACTTGAGGTTAAATATTTATTATTCATTATTCAACGAAGAGCTATTCAGAAAATAGCTTAGTCATAGTCTGTCACCTAAAAACATAATTCTTAACGTTCCTATCAGGTTATCAACATGGCAAATTGTGTAGCTTACTATATCGCCCACAACAACGTGGGTAAACAGCGACATGTAAATTACACTAAATGCGTCAAAAAAACACGAAAAACCAAGAGCTCTTTGTATAAATGTCGGAAGTAAATATGACTTGCACTGCGTCACATTGGATTTAACATTTTAGTAGTTGCAAATGTAGTATGCAGCAGCAGTTCATTGCTTGCGAGTGCAATGTAACGAGCACTACTGACGTCTTTCAAAAGAAATTAACACACTTGAACGAGTCATGTCGAAAAGTAAGTGCTTTAGATATTCATATTACTGTTTACTGTTATTATTGTTGTTGTTTATGTGTACGTTGACATGAAAAAACCTATAAGCGTAAACTGTGACTCGGCTTACAAGAAATAGAATCTTAGTTCTCAACTCATTAATTCACTATTCTGGACTTGCTTTAATTCTTTCCTACATTGTTGATAGACTGCTAAACAGGAATATTTTAGCAATTCTTTTCGCTCTACGGCAACGTGGGCGAGCGACATTGTTTGATAAATCCCAAGAGGTCAATTTTAAGTGAAGAATAGGCTGTGAAGCGATTCAAAAGACAACTCGAGTCGCTTTATTTTCTTTTTTCACCGCAAACATTTATTGAAGCAGTACAGCTTAATTAAGCGTATATAGCTGCTAGCTATAATGCCTAGGTTGATGTCAAAATGGTTGACCTCCAATGCAAAACATTTTGAAATAAATTCAGAATTCAATGCGCATTCATCATCTAGCCAATAATTTGGCTGAGTTTGAAAAAGTGAGCGGTTGATGCTGATCCCTTTCAAGGAAGTCCAAATTTCTGTGACATTTTATTACCAGCAAAATAGTTGTGGAGCAAGTGCACGGTGAAACGCCATTCCCACATATGGAATTCTAAGCAGTTAAATCAACCTTTACGCATATTATTTGTTTTCTTCAAAACAATTAACATTTCATGACACATTGTTACGTTCTCGTACGAAAGATTTGCGTGTAAATAATTATACGTCGTATTTGACGAGAACGAAGTCAATAAGAAGGCAAGAAAAATAGGATGATTTTTTTATGGTATACGAGTCTCACTAACTCAAGTCACGACGGGTAACAGTGCATAACCGTAAACAAAATGGGGTGTACATGCATGTAATATCCTTGAATCCATCCAAAAATTCTTTCTTTCTCTCTTCATCTCATGCAATTGTACATGCTTTTGAGAAAACGCCTGACATGCAAACGAAACGAAGTTAGCTGTTCCTTTTAGATTGTTCTCCGGGTTTTTGATGATTAGCCTAGCATCAAGAATTCCTGATTTTCACATAGTACTCCAAGAAGAGTTTGGCTATTTTTCTGGTTTTTATCCACCTCTATTTAGTCTGCCAAACTCCTAAATTCGTCATAATTTTTTTCAAATTTAATGAAATTCTTCATTCAACTTATCCAACCAGGTGTGACTCCTCGCGATTTCAAATTTCAATGGATGAGTGATACGGGTCCTATATTTCAATGAGATTTTAAAGTATCGTTGGTGTGAGTTCTTTCGTGTAGCTCAAATGATACATCATTTTTTCATTTTTCCAGTCTTTTTTCCGGTGTTTTCCATCAAAGATCAGATACACTTATGGGCGTCTGTGCTCAGCTATGTGAGCAGTGCATTAGTTTCATGTAAGCTCTCTTGCATTTCATATGAATAGAAGTTGAAACATGTGGACATCTTTCAACACAAATTGTTTTGTTGTTACACACACTTATACTTGCTTGTGGAAGAATAAAAATTCTTCTAATCTTCAAACTTTACCTGTCTTATTTCGAACATTTGAATATAATTTAGCGTCGCTGGACGAAACAATTGGATTTGAGAATAAACGCTGCCTCCAGAATTGCTTCCCTTAAGTCACAAAAAACGTTACTGCTAATTTTCTTACACAAGCCACCATCTAGAAATTTAATGTCACCGCATTAATAGTCGCATTTGCATGTAGTTTCACCTCCTTTATAACAGAATTTCGTCGTTAAACAACAACTCCATCATTTATCGACGTCAAAACTGCAATATCACTTGCGATGCATACTCCTTCATGAGCCATGGGAGAATTTGATCTTGGCAATAACTGTACAATGATAGCGTTTTTAGAAATAACAATGCATTGCTAAAGGGTATGTCTTAGATGTTGCTTTATGTCTGTATTGTTATTGAGGTCTTCATACATAAAGACTATTGAAAACAAACAACTAAGAAACTAAACCTTTTTCCTTTCCATCACTGATTTCTCGTTCATTTTAAAGTCAGACACGTCATCTTTGTTTTTGTTTGATTTCTTGGTGCTTCCTTAAAACGTCTAGGGTTTTTTTATTGAATGTCCAAGTGCGTTGTTTTATCACCTTTGGCCAACCTTGATTTTTTGTTTCAAATTTTATGTTATTCGTAAAACCCGGATTCAATTCCAAAGGTTTCAGTCTTGTTGGAAAAGCTTTCTTTCCTTCGAGTTTGGCATCTTCAATATCGTATAAAATTACATCAACCATTTTTTGGGAAGACATTGTTCGTTTTGACGTTATCTGGGTTGGGATGAAATCAACTTTGGTTGAACAACTTTGTCTGTTCTCATTTCTTATATCAAAATTCTCAAAAGAAACGCCTTAATTCAACTTTTAAATAGACATGGACCTGAAAACGAACAACAAACTTCGTCACTTTCCACTTATTGCTTGGCAAATGAACGTGTTTTCCATGTATAATGCTAGCATACAATTTACAAGTAGCATTGCTCAATGCATGTACCACACAGTTTACAACATGTTTCACTACACAGAGCATACAGTTTACAACATGTTTCACTGAACAGAGCATACAGTTTACAACATGTTTCACTACACAGAGCATACAGTTTACAACAAGTTTTACTGAACAGAGCATACAGTTTACAACATGTTTCACTGCAAAGAGCATATAGTTTACAACATGTTTTACTACACAGAACATACAGTTTACAACAAGTTTCACTGAACAGAGCATACAGTTTACAACATGTTTTACTGCAAAAAGCATATAGTTTACAACATGTTTTACTACACAGAGCATACAGTTTACAACATGTTTCACTGCACAAAGCATACAGTTTACAACATGTTTCAATGCACAAAGCATACAGTTTACAACATGTTTCACTGCACAATGCAAACAGTTTACAACATATTTCATTGCATCTAGCATACAGTTAACAGTATGTTTTACACCAGTTTATAGTTTGTTTCACTGTTTGAAGCTTATAGTTTAATATGCATGTTTCACTGCATCAGTCTACATGCAGCATACAAGTTCAAAACATGTTTCACTACAAGCAGAATTCAATTTACAGCATGTTACATTGCATGCTGCATACAGTTTACAACATGTTTCACAGCTTAAAGTTTTCAGGTCATTACATGTTTCACTTCAAGCAGCATGCAGTTTGCTTATCTCTCATTAACTTCAGTGTTCAATATTAAAAATTGCTTTAAACTTTGATTTAAGATTTAAGATTGTTCCAAACAATTCGAATACTCCAAATATGCCTAATGTACCTTGTTAATGACTGCTAGACTAAAAATTGACCTGTTGGAAAAAAAACAACAATGAGCCTCGGAGCTTTGCAGCGACACCAAAATTAAACACAAAATATTCAAAATAACTTGTGAAAATTAATAATGAATCGAAAATAAAATTATATTACACAAATCACAGCCAACTATGCAAGCTATGCCCAGTTAGTTGAGAGGCATTGCATTATTAAATATTTTGTAATCGTCTTGGCGAAATGACCAGTATTAATTTTTTGAAAGCACATTTAATAAAATTCACCCTTGCTTGCTAAAAAATTTAATTTTCAATAGATTGCTCAAAAATGCTTTTTCTGTTCCAGCGAAGGTACGATAGCCCTGGCAGAGTGCAAAGTTCACAGTATACCTATGGGAGTTTCTATACACTTAACAGCATGTTCCGCTTCTTACAGCTTATATTACAATATGTTTTATAGCATGTAGCATAGTTTACAGTTGGGTTTCACTGCTTGAAGCTCACAGTCTACAATATGCGTCATTGCATGTAGCATACAGTTTACAGCATGCTTCACTTGCTTAAAGCTTACCTCACAGTATGTTTTGTAGCTTACATTTGGATTTCACTGATTGAAGCTTATAGTCTAGAACATGTTTCACTGCATGTAGCATAAAGTTTACAGTATGTTTTACAGCATACAGTTTATAGCTTGTTTCACTGCTAGAAACTTACTGTGTACAACACGTTTCATTGCATCAGTTTGCATGCACGAACAAGTTCATATGTTTCACTGCATGCAGTATATAGTTTACAGCATCTTTCACTACTAAGAGCTTTCAGATTACAGCATGTTTCATTGCATGTAGCATACAGTTTACAGGATTTTTTCAGCATACAGTTTATAGTTTGTTTCACTGCTAGAAACTTGCATTGTACAACACGTTTCCACGCATCAGTTTGCATGCACATACAAGTTTACAGCATGATTCACTTCAAGCAGAATTCAGTTTACAGCATGTTACACTGCATGCAGCATACAGTTTAAAACATGTTTCACAGCTTAAAGCTTACAGGTCATTACATGTTTCACTGCATCAGTCTACATGCATCATACAAGTTCACAACATGTTTCACTACAAGCAGAATTCAATTTACAGCATGCTACACTGCTTGCTGCATACAGTTTACAACATATTTCACAGCTTAAAGCTTACAGGTCATTACATGTTTCACAGCTTAAAGCTTACAGGTCATTACATGTTTCACTGCATCAGTCTACATGCAGCATACAAGTTCACAACATGTTTCACTAAAAGCAGAATTCAATTTACAGCATGTTACAGTGCATGCTGCATACAGTTTACAACATATTTCACAGTTTAAAGTTTTCAGGTCATTACATGTTTCACTGCAAGCAGCATGCTTATCTCTCATTAACTTCAGTGTTCAATATTACAAATTGCTTTAAACTTTGATTTAAGATTTTTTATTTATTAAGTGTTCCAAACTATTCAAATTCTCCTAATATGCCTAATCGTAGTTATTAACTGCTTGACTAAAAATTGACTTGTTTAAAAAAACAACAACAAACGAGATTCGGAGCTTAGCAGTGATGCTAAAATTAAACACAAAACACTCAAAATAACTTGTGAAAATTAATAATGAATCGAAGGTAAATTAGATTACATAAATTACAGCCAACTATGCCCAGCTAGTTATGATGCATAATATATTAAATGTTTAGCAATCGTCTTGGCGAAATGCCCAGTGTTAATTTTATGAAAGCACATTTAATACAATTCTACCCCGCTTGCTAAACAAGTTGATTTTCAATTGATTGCTCAAAATTCCTTTTTCTGTTCCAGCAAAGGTTCGAAAGCCTTGGCAGAGTGGAAAATACACAGTATATCTATGGGAGTTTCTATACAGTTTACTACAAGATCATGAATGCCAATCGCTTATTTCATGGACAAACCAGGAGATTAAGGAGTTTCGAATGAAAAATGTCAAAGAGATTGCGAAACTGTGGGGAACTGCGAAAAATAGGCCAACTATGGACGATAAAAAACTTCTACGAGCTTTAAGATACTATTACAAGACGAATATATTGAGAAAGGTAGATATAGTTTCCATAAAAATGCTTCAGTCTGCTCTTTTCTGTTAAGGCTGTAAGCTTTAGTTGCAATAATATCAAAATTCCTCAAGTCATTTACCAAAGAATAAGATGTAAAATTGTTTAAAATGTACTAGTTGTAAAATATTTTCACCGCTAAAGACGACTTTGTCTTCTTTGAACAAAAATTAGCACTTAGGAAACAACTTACAAAAGAAGTGCCTGCCTCAGGGAGGAGAACAGTCAAACGACTTTTAATCGTTTTAACCTGACCATGGTTAAAAGTGTATTTCATTTGCCTTGTTTTAACAGATCAAAGGACAGAAAGGAGTGTACCAATTTCTTTCACTACCGTATGAAGTGGAAAAAAAGAGCGACGACCTCAATGTAGAAAACGAACTTGAATCCGAAACATGTGAGCAACCAGTTGAGAGCAACACCTGGGAAAATATGGGGAGTGGAGGAACAGACGATTTATCATCAATTGAAGAAGATTCTCGTGGAGAAGTTTCAAAGACGGGTGATCCCTCGATCGCATGTCGTGATATAATAGCTGTAAAAGATGAACAGACCGTTTTCACCAATGTATATGTTGCAGGGGAAAACAGCAGCTCGTCATCGGAGAGTACAGAATCAGGAAATGAAAACAGTGCGAAATATATGGAAGATATTAAAGCGGACATTATCGATGTTGACTTTCCGGACTCAGCACAAGAAAACATGGACTGCGTTTTTGAAAATGAAAGTTTAATGCACGGAGACTTTTAAATATTAAATCTCCAGGTTTAATCGTTGTCAATCTAAAGATGCAGATGAAGTCTACATGAATGATTCAATGATCAAGAAAACAATTAGGAAGCATTTAGAGAGAGAAAACAAAGAGTCTCTTTATAATATAAAAGGATTGATGAAGGGCTCAAGATTTCACTATTGGACTTTCGAAGCTAATATTGGATTCAACTGCAATGGAGAAATAACATGCACGATAACCTTCAAGAAAACTCTCGTGACTTGCAATATGGCAGTGAATTAATACCTGATCACAGATTCATAGAGGCTCAAATGTCAATTCACATCGGAACTACTTATTTTTAGTGTATGATAGACGTTTGGACATCTTCAATTTTAACCAAATTTAAGGAACGTTTGTTCGAGCAACGTTACATTTCTATGACCACATTGATTGAGCACGTTTGAAAACACATATTCTGGTCAAAACGTCAATTTAAGTAAAGTTGCAAAACAACGACGTTCTTCACCTGCAACCGAGTCCAGAGAGTTGATGGGAAAAACCAAAATTCGTTAAATATAAAGCAGCTCGGGTCGTTTCTTCCTAAACGGGAGTCAGCACAGTCACAATAACAACCGAAAGAGTATTGCTGCTTTCAAAAACAACGACTAGTCATTGGACCTACGTGGGCTCAATGATTGCAGCTGCAGAAATCAAATACAACACAGCAACCCAATTTCAGCGAGGAGTCTATAAATCTACTTCCCCATCAATAGTGAAATAAAAAGCGGTCATGCACGTGGGCGTTGCTCTAGTCACAATAGACGTACGAGGCCATTACGCAATATTTGTTTGCAGCCGATGTTTTGCCAACTGAATTGGTTCACATCGCACACACCCGAAAACATTTGTATTGCACGAGTGCAATTGATATAAAACTACTTCTTATAGAGATCACTATTCACCACACAAGTGCAAGCACTGTAGAGCGTACGCTAGACTGCACTTTTACTATTAAATGGTGATTAAATTGAAATATTATTCTATCATGTACATACAGACTACAGAGTGTCACCGGAAAAAAACGAAACCCACATGAATTATTATGTATACGCTAAAGCTATCATGCACATTAATTTTACTAGCATTCAAAACTGTTTAATGACCTTGACAGTTCTGTGCCTCAGGGATTTGTTAGGGTTTGTGCAGTATTAGTAAAAGCAAAACACGTTAAAACTTAAAACTACAGACATAGACTGATTTTCATCGCAAATTTATTACGCAAATGCTTTGTCAAGGCAAAGCGACATCAACTGAGTTATAATAGCCACACAAACTTGATCATATTTTCCATAAGTTGCAACGAACGTCGAACATTACATGGACAAGCGTATGAATACATCTAACCGGGCGGAAAAAAGAGCTATTAACTATTGTCTTACGCAGATTTCAATTTAATGCATACATAAGTATTTGTGCGGGTTACGGTTTTTTTTGGGACACCAGATGCAAATATAATATTAAATTAAAGGTAATATTGTTTACGTAAAATTGACTTGTTTCATCTATTGCATTAATTCATTAAATTTTAAGTCGCTAATTTTAGTACTTTATCATTGAAAAAATTTTGTTTTGCCACCTAATGTTATTGCGAAATAGCAGTTGGCGGAGGCCACTTACTTTTTACAATACGAATAAATTATACGGATATCTTCAGTTTGTGCAGCGTCACCAAAACCGGAAATAGCAACTTTCCATATTTGGAAATCGATTTACGAGCGAATCCATGGGTGTCCATGGTTTCACAAATATTGCGAAATGCAACAACACGATCATCGATGCATGTGGAACACTCCTGAACAACGACATAAATCAGAACCAAAATAGAAACGAAGACTTCACATCAGCGTGATATAACACACGCAGTATCATTGTGAATAAGAATTATTTACAAATTTGCGAGTGCTCTTCCAATTCACGTTTCCATGTGACACACTCACATGGAGACCGGGGTGAAAATTAATACACCGCGAAATTCAAACTAAACAGGAAACCTAGATGGTCTACCGTTTAGTGAAAACATAAATAGAATTATCAGTAAAGTTTGGAAAAATGAATATAAATGCCAACGAAACATGAGCAACAGTATAATTCGTAGCCATATATGTCAAACAATCCGAATGCGAAAATACTCCAAACAACATGTTGTCAATATGTTTGACTAGTGCAATATTCTATATACTTTAGCTATACCTGCACAATTGTGCCAAGTGTCAAGTAATTCAATTCAATTAGGACGTAGAATACATCCTTATTAGTCAACTATAATGGGAAATAAACCGAAAATCTGTTTCGAATACACCTACGCTGCAGAGCGACTCAATTTTACAATGTGTGCATATGAAATATTACGGAGTCGGAAGAGGATGCAATTGAAGGAATTCGTTGTTTTTAAGTTGAAATCAGAACAGGATACGATTACTTTCAAAAGTCAGGTGATCTACTCCAAGAACCATGTTGTAGACATAAAGTGACAATCTTAGTTTGTGTCAAGCATTTACACCAAGGAAAGACCATAGTGAGAAATTACGAAAAGATTACTGGACGTGAAGAACGAGACGAAGTTTCTAAAATTTCTACAATATAAGAAAATTAGAAAGTCTCTTGCCCTGCAAACTGGTAAGTTTTTGATGCTTTAACGTTGTTTCCATTAACTCGACAACCAAAGCACAAGAAATTGGTCTAGGTAGGTTTATTATGATTGATAAAATAGAAATTACAAGTCTTATCATTTTGTTAAGACGCAAAAACTGATTTGGAATGACTTAAAAATAATAGCGACGATTTGTAATGAAAAAAGAGCACACGCCTTTAGATGTTCGAGGAAAGTGCACGATATATTAAACTGTAACTCAGGAAAACCCTTCCAATTAGCCCATACAAATTTATCAATACTAACGGTCGATCTAGACGAACAACACAGGCTGATGAATTGATTTCACGATGTTTCGAAAGCTAACAGCACATTTTACTTTTCACTTTTCTAATTCAATCATAAACTTCAGCGTACCGTAGGATGTACATAGATAAAAAAGATCTTAAAACAAATTTTAATTGTGCTATTTTCTTCTTCGGAAATTCACAACGACTAAATTCACAGTTAAATTCACAACCAATGAGTTTGAAGTCAAAATTAAGATACACAAAAGAGTGTAAGATAATATTGAAATTCATAAAAAGCTAATGCGTTTATTATTTTGACCAACCCAAGCCCTTTCAGGATATTTCGCAACAAATTTCGTCCCCATTTTCTTGGAATTACTGGCGCGTGTACTTTAAATCAGTCACATTATATAATTTATAAAAGATTTTATTGAATGTTATCTAGTATCACGGAATGGAGAGCAAAATTAGCGAATTACAATAATCGCACGTGATGTACTTAGTATAATGTACGACAAAACAATACATTTTTAAACAAGAAATATATTTATAGCACGCCAGCTGCCACAAAAATCGAAGATGCTTCACACGTATCATAATTTACATTAATATACATCGAATATACTTCAGATAACATTTTTCCTTTGTACAAATCATACAATAATTACTGTTTCTTTATTAAAATAAGCGATGGGATCGCGAATAATCACTCTTTGATACTTATTCTTTTCATCGGAAGATGCCATATTAGTCGTCGATTGACGTCAACCAACGACTCAAGCTCGTGTTATAACAAGTACCCGAGTACAAGCCGAACAATTAATCCATTTAAATCATCAAGTTTACGAACGTCATACGGCGTTTAACGAGTTGCACAATCGGCTTGTACACGTCAACATGCAAAGCATTGCTGTCTTCTATCGCGATTAAAGATAAAACCGACATTAATACCGCACAGAAATAAGCAGAAAACTCACATAAATTACATAAAAATGAAACTTATTCCTTACTTAGCCAGTTAACAAAGAAGAACTGATAATATTTCGTTTTGAGTTTCTGTATTGTGCAATGTTTAAATACAATGACGTCTGTGAGCCGCCGTCGACGTAATACATACTGCGGGGGTCAATTACGACCAAGCCCTTTTTTCTCGAACATTTATATAACAGACTAATTCAAATGGCAGGCAATATGGGAAAACTTATTAGGCGAACATTCGCTGCTGCTTCAGAATCGTTTTACACGTACGAGCTGTTTCTCCACTCAACTCCCTCAAAACGGAAGTAAGTAGCTCTGGTGTTCTAAATTATAAAGAATATTTCAAAAATGCTATTACGTGTTTACATTAGTAGCGATCGGTTGAATGGAAGAATCCAGTAATGTCTAGAGATATCATATCTTACTTATTATACTTGTAATTTCTCTCGTTATTTTCTTCTCTGTTGAATATATTTACGTAGATATAAACCTATTTATCGCGAATGTATTCTATGCTTTATAATATATTAGATGCTTGCAACAAAGGATTATTGAATCATTCAATTGCGTTGTATGATAAAGTACGCATGTAAATTTCGTCTCAATGTCCACAGGCACTTCGCTTAACTTGAAATAAGCCATTAAATTCTATCGCATGTACGCACATATTCTCACGCTCGTATGTCGATCGCTACATTGTTGACAATATTCGCCTGTATGAATTACAAGAGTGCAATTCTTCCCGGGGATTCGATCATCGAATCCAGGAGCAAAACGCTTCAAATTTCAATATAGCTGCGGTTTTCAACAATTGACAGGAATCGCTTAATCGCTTTAAGTGAAGCAAATTGCTGTTATGTTTCGACAACTAAGGAACATTCTAAGACAAAACAGTTGTGCGCGAAATTGAGCTGTTGGTAACTGCAATCGACATGGAAAATTTAACAGCGTAAGTTCAATGTTGGCAGTGCACTAGCAAATAATTACACCTACTCGTCACGAAGCCACCATAAAACCTTACCTTGTAAGCAAGAACTGCCATATAAATATACGGAAGATACTGAGTACTACGTTTTACAAAAAGGTCCGAATCACTGGCTATTAAAAATGTACTGGTCTTGGTAATGTTGATATGTACAACAGACGTTATGTTGTCAATGTCTTATATACTTACTGGTACTTTTGCCGTTCTCATGCTGCTGTTACACAGAATTTATTATTGGAAATGTTGTGAATTACTATCTTAGAGGTTCATCAAACAATTAAATTACAAATCTTTCCTGAATAATGCAAACCAAAAACACATGTTGCACAGCGCTATGTTTACGAATTTTAAAAGATAACCAGCCAACTAGTTACCATTACACGCAAGTCGTTTACAAAGATTTCTCTTTTTAGAAACCCGAAGAAGCGTAATTCAAAACAAACTTCTACAATGCCAACAGTTCGACCAAGGACAACTATCTACTTGTGGGAATTTCTCTTACAACTACTAGACGGTGAAGAGCATTGCTCCTCGATTTCATGGTTAAACAGAGAACGTGGTGAATTTGTTCTTAAGGACCAAGGCGAGATCGCGAAGTTGTGGGGAATAGTGAAAGGCCGGCCTCGTATGGACAAAATAAAATTGGGACGTGCTATGCGATATTATTACAAAAAGAAACTCCTGGCAAAGGTTAGTTCAACGATGCGATCTTTTCATCACTTCACCATCGCAGCACGATCCTAATTCAGCATGCAAAAACATTGCACTTAAAATAATGTACAGCCCCCTGTTGATTACGAGGAGAAAATTTGAACTCTGACACCCACTCCCAGTTTCATTCATGCAGACAAGTGGCTTGTGTAAACGATCGATTTAACATATTCTTCTGCTTGTAGGTACCGAGGCGTAAAGCTGTATATCGTTTTGTGAAATACGATTGCCTCAAACAAAAACAATCCGAAGTTGTACGTCAGGAGGATTTTACAGAAATTGATTTCACCGAAAATCCGCTAATTGATATGATCGATAAAGGCAAAAACGGCGATCTGTTACTTCCGGAAAAAGTAGATCCCGACAATGACGACATGCCTTTGGGGAAAATGCTTGCAGGAGGCAAAGAGAACACGTTCACAAGAAAGGAAGGGTGTGATGGATCGGGTATGTAGGAAACACGTTTGGAAGCATGGACAATATTTCGGATGCTTCATGCAGTTTCTATGATCAAAATCAGAACAATTTCAACATGCCTATCCCGACTTCGGATCATTATGTTCCATGTTCTGAGCTGCCATGTATATCACAGCAGAACTATCTTAACTGTTATAAGAACGAGATGCCAGGGCCTATAACAAGCTACAGCATGGCGCAAACTTACAACCAAACATTGCATTCTAATGGAACGTATGCGAATACAACACCATACAGTGTGGACAACGGTGGACCATTGGCCTCGCTGTTACTAAACAGTATTTTGATGAGCGACCAACAAATTACCGAGGACCAAACTAGTTATCAAACGGTACCCTCGGCGTCTTTGTTAACATCTACGGGAAACACTGCACCTATTTTATCCACAGGCTATTCACAGTTTAAACAAGAACCATCACTTCAAACTAATTTTAACCCTTCTGGACATTTTCTCGACGAAAACGAAGAAACCTTAAAGTCGTTGAGGGAGTTTGAAAGATTGCTATCGCTGAAGGGAAGTTTTTAGTTCAAAGATTATATCATATAGATTTTTATGCCATAAAAATGTAAATATTTTTAATAAAGAAATAAAACTATGAAACTATTGATTCGGTAAACGTATGGCTTAAACTTGCTTTGAGAATCGCACGATATGATTGACTAGTGATTGAATTGACATGTTTTCCTGTTTAGCCCAGGAAGGAATTGCGGTATTCGTACTGCTCTGTTCACGTATGCATAGAAGCTAATAATTTCCTCTTATCTTGGGATTCCAAAAAACTCAAAGCTTCGTACAATTTTTGAATGGTCATTTAATACAACAAGGAAATCATATTTAACGCACCACACGAGCTCTTCTAAAAATTTCAAATTGACATAAACAAGACAATTCCGAATTGTTAAGCAATGTGCTGTCAAGCAATGTAAACATGACTATATAACAGTCGTATAGCCTGGTATATTTATAAACAAGTTCCGAATATTTGAGACTTCAGCCATTAGGCGAATTCAGCTCTCGAGTTCGACTCTTTTCGACTTTGCCCACGTTGACAACGTGAAAAAGCATATTTGCTTTAGACAAATATGAATTTAAGCTTGCATAACTATGTACTGATAGATAAAAAGTACACTTACTTTCAAATTGATAATCCATGTGGTGTATGGTACTAACGTTGATTGTTTACGAATTTAGTCCTCAAGCGTGTCGATTGTTCATCATTGAAGTTTTTAACCGCTCATGTAGTGCGTTCAATCTCTGTCCCTCATATGAACGTGTTTACTTCACTTGACACAAGTTTTTTGTTAACTTCATGTTTAAATATACTGCAATAGCTGTTCAAATTTACCAAACTGACTTTCTTCTTCGAAGTTGAGGGAGATTGAGAAGTAAAGTATTACAGCACGTGGATACCATTTCTTAAAATACACGACTTTTGATTGGTCAGAGATGACAGTGGCACGTGAGAAATCAAGTACGATTGGGTACGATTGTTGCGACATGTACGAAAGAACTCATTGGTTTAAGTTTAGAAACATATTTTAATTTATGACAAAAAATGGATCCGGCTGCAAATGCAATGCTCAGACTATAAGAAAATCGTCGTCATTATTTCGCAATAAAATGAAATAAAAATTACCCACCAGAACAAAACAACGCCTTTTATTATGTATCACATGAACATTGAATAGCACAGCATTGTACAATATATCCAATTTATTCCAATAAAATTTGTACATTCTCTTTCCCCGAAGCTTGCTTCGTTGTCGCATAGATTTCCCGACTGACTTTTGACATGGAAATCCGCATTCTCTCTCAAAGAAATTTAAGCAATTGCTTGCAAAAAAATTTTGGAAAGAGCTTAGAATGGCAACTTTGTGCGGCCGTCCCTTCCTAAGACCGGATCTTTTCTTTCCCTTCACCGGTTGGGTGCCCACAACTTTCTTGCACCAAATGAAGTTCAACCCTTTCGTAGAATGTGTTGAAGATCTTGTGGTAAGGTATCCAACACTTGTTCCATCTGAAGACATAGCTTTTTCAAAACATCGTCTGTGACTTGGGTTTCGAAATGCCTAGCACTTTTCTGCAAGGTAAAATGGTTGACATTGGAGGCATTTTCGATGGTCTTGCTGAATGTTTCGTGCACAGGGGACGAAACACAGGCGAGAGCATAAACACAACAAATGCAAATCATCATATACGTATGTTTAAATCGGGAAACTTACATGATGCCGTTCATGTATAGATATATGTTTAAACTTATCAGCTATACGAACTTTCATCATTCAATTGTGACAGTTATTAGGTATACGAACCATTTTTTCTCGTGTTTTGAGGATAAAATCCACAATTTCGACCTCATTTTTCGCGGTCATCCATGACGACATATCCTGAAAACGCGTAAATAAGTATTTCACGAATGCATATGAATGATAGCATTGAGGGTTTTCACTAGTCGTCATAGCCGCCATGTTGGCGTATTACTGAACACAATGTTAAAGAATTTCTTTATTTTGAAACATCAATAAAGCCGGTTCCTAATTTTTTACATGTTGATCACTTTGGGAAAGATGAGAAGACTGTACAAGTCTATAGACGGTAAGTGATAGTACGTATTGATCATCTAGGTTACCATTAAATTGAAGGAATTTTATACATGGCAATTATAACTATAACACTTAAGATTCAGTTAAGTTACTTTGTGTAAGTCTATGTGTCGTAAGTGTATCTCTGTGAATGAAAAATGATTGGAATCAAAGTGAAACATATATGTACATACAGCAACGGCCAACGCTTCCAAATGGAGTAAGAGTAACTTCTGCTGAATTTGGTGTTGTCTGTTTCGAAACCATCCTTCGAAGTTGGCTGACCTGAAAAAGTCTTGAAAAAATCAAAGTCATTAAAATTAAAGAATGTAAAAAATACGATTGGAACAAAGCAATGAACGAACAAGGGTAATGATAACGAAATGCAAGTAACACAAAGATATTAACGCAATCATGTAAGTATATTTTCACCTGTAAAGTCCTTTCCAGTCTCCTTTAATCCAGTCGTAAGTTGGGGACCAGAATGTTCAACTGTTTTCAAAAACTCTTCGGCATCGAAAGACTTAAGTTTTGGGGGTAGCTGTCAAAGATATGTAGAAAATTTTAGCGCATGTCATGCAGTGACAAAAAACCGCAACATAGTGAAGTTTCGTGCACTGGAAGATTTCCCATTGGGTACGTGAAAATTGCGGAGATTTTACACAGGGTTATGCACGGTTTTACACGGTTACGTGACTTTATACTTGGCATGACTAAAATACGGGAGTTGGCCGATTAAAGAACCAAAAAGTACAAGACAAATTTTGGACACTTGGCTCATTGAAAATTGAAAATCATAGGGGAACCTGCCACACAGCATATGGGCGAGACCAAATTTCGAGACTTCAATAACACTAATGAAAGTCAAGAACGTAATACTGCATGTACACTGATAAATATGTATGGGGATACCAAGCATGTAACTGTATGTACACATATGAATATGTATGGGATACCAAGCATGTAAACTGTATGTACACATATGAATATGTATGGTACCTTCCACGGAGAAATACTTCTTTGTAAAGGCATCAAACTAGCAGCGTAACGTTCCTAAACGAAACAAAATCAAACATTTTGAATCTCAAATTTTAAAAGCTTGTAAATCTTTAATTCGAAGCAGCCGCAATCGCCAGCAATCCTCTTACGTAATCCTGGATTACGTATGCATGCATTCTGCCTTTCAAGAACTACCATTAAGGATGTAGCTAGCTATGGCGGATAATCTCAAATGTATTTGGAAAAATAGGATTTTTACCAATGGTATAATGAAACTTTGCGTGAGTTCCCTCATGTGCTTTCTCAAAATAGCATTCTGTAATACAAAAATTTTTTGATCAGATCAACTTCACGAAGTGCATGAATTAAACTCGACTTTGTCGCCTTCCTTAAAGTGGAAATAAAAAGGCATTATTTTTAACAAAACCAACTCTAAATGGTATCCTTATACATATGCCATATATACGCAACGCAGATATAGGAGATCTCCGTTCTCCCTACGTGTGTTTACAATTAAGAAAATTTTTTTATATAACATCGTAATTAATAATGATCGATGACGCCCCACATGGTATCAAAGGGGCGAATATTTTAAAGATAATTAAGTTAAAAAGGCACATAGTGCTTTCTAGTTGTCGTGACCTTCAAGGACCACGCCGTGTGACCTATCAACACACACAGCTTTAATTTATGAACACAACATCCACGAAATACAGGAAATAATGAAAACCCCAGAAAACTGCAGAGAAAGACGACACACGACCTGAATAGTCTAAATACTGTTAATAAAAACATCTGTAAAATTCAAATGTTAATGCAGTTTGCCATGAACCATTGTATGCACGACATTTCGGCCAGTGTATCGACAAACCAGACGTAATACGTAAAGTAAAAATGTCACGTGAGTATCATTTATACTGTTTCGTTTTAGTTTCCCGGGCAAATTGTTGACTGCAATATATGACTATAGAACAAAAACTCGTATCTACGTAGTACAAATTCATCGTACCTGAGCTTCTGCAGGTCGTTTCTTCTGCCCTCCCTAAACAGTTAAAATAACATTCGTATTTCACTTGCTCTCTAACGTCGGCGAATTGAATTTAATGATTTTGAGAATTTCACCACAGTAAGGTGACAAATATACGACTACGAAAGCATAACGTAAACACAAGATCAAGGAGATTTTGCAGCCATATAGCAGATGTGAGGGTGACAATCAATTATACCTTACACAACGAAACTCTCCAAACTAATTTCAGATCAATTTTATAGAAACACAACACCATAAAACGCAATACCCTTTTATAGCTTTGATGAACAATTTATCTCTCTGTAGATACTGTTTATAACGGGTGTAAATACCTAAAAATTTGAACCAATGTTATTCACGTGATACACGCTGGACAAAATCTTGGAAACAAGATGCGGTCCAACGTTATGCATGGTGATTTTAAACTATTCATGAAATAAGTTGAGCGCAATCCATCTTATGGTATATTGAAATACCTGGCTTTGCCTCGAAAGATCTTTTCTCGTTCCCTAGAGGATTCCGGCCACCAATAACTAAAAAGTATACAAATTACAAATTATATAAAACTAATGAAACAGCTTAGTTGCTTTCAAATTAGATTTGAGAAATGGTTCAACAAATTGTTTGCATGTGAAAAGTAGGCCAAAACAAAAGGAAAAACACCTTCGTTTTTTCTTCAATATAAACATACGTGTATACGGCACCCTTAATCTAAACAATCACCATAGAGGAAAAGGTTCATGTAATAGCTCAAATGAAGCTAGAATTGACGATAATATTATGTCTGGTCAGGATATGCGTAGGACGTTAAAAAATGGAAGGTCCCTCGAGGTGAGTTTGGGTTTAACAACTTGATATAGTATTCCGTCCATCGAGTAAACTCAAACGTAAAACTACCATTGAAGTCTTACCTATGTTATTCATTGCTCCCATTAAAATTACCATTGAAGTCTTACCTAAGTTATTCATTGCTCCCATTAAAACTACCATTGAAGTCTTACCTAAATTATTCATTGCTCCCATTAAAACTACCATTGAAGTCTTACCTAAGTTATTCATTGCTCCCATTAAAACTACCATTGAAGTCTTACCTAAGTTATTCATTGCTCCCATTAAAACTACAATTGAAGTCTTACCTAAGTTATTCATTGCTCCCATTAAAATTACCATTGAAGTCTTACCTAAGTTATTCATTGCTCCCATTAAAATTACCATTGAAGTCTTACCTAAGTTATTCATTGCTCCCATTAAAACTACCATTGAAGTCTTACCTAAATTATTCATTGCTCCCATTAAAACTACCATTGAAGTCTTACCTAAGTTATTCATTGCTCCCATTAAAATTACCATTGAAGTCTTACCTAAATCATTCATTGCTCCCATTAAAACTACCATTGAAGTCTTACCTAAGTTATTCATTGCTCCCATTTAAACTACCATCGAAGTCTTACCTAAGTTATTCATTGCTCCCATTTAAACTATCATCGAAGTCTTACCTAAGTTATTCATTGCTCCCATTAAAACTACCATTAAAGTCATTACCTAAGTTATTCATCGCTCCCATTTAAACTACTATTGAAGTCTTACCTAAGTTATTCATCGCTCCAATTTAAACTAGCATCGAAGTCTTACCTAAGTTATTCATCGCTCCCATTAAAACTACCATTGAAGTCTTACCTAAGTTATTCATTGCTCCCATTTAAAACTACCATTGAAGTCTTACCTAAGTTATTCATTGCTCCCATTAAAACTACCATTGAAGTCTTACCTAAGTTATTCATTGCTCCCATTAAAACTACCATTGAAGTCTTACCTAAGTTATTCATTGCTCCCATTAAAACTACCATTGAAGTCTTACCTAAGTTATTCATTGCTCCCATTAAAACTACCATTGAAGTCTTACCTAAGTTATTCATTGCTCCCATTAAAACTACCATTGAAGTCTTACCTAAGTTATTCATTGCTCCCATTAAAACTACCATGAAGTCTTACCTAAGTTATTCATCGCTCCCATTAAAACTACCATTGAAGTCTTACCTAAGTTATTCATTGCTCCCATTAAAACTACCATTGAAGTCTTACCTAAGTTATTCATTGCTCCCATTAAAACTACCATTGAAGTCTTACCTAAGTTATTCATTGCTCTTTAAACTACCATTGAAGTCTTACCTAAGTTATTCATTGCTCCCATTTAAATTACGATCGAAGTCTTACCTAAGTTATTCATCGCTCCCATTTAAACTACCATTGAAGTCTTACCTAAGTTATTCATTGCTCCCATTATAACTACCATTGAAGTCTTACCTAAGTTATTCATTGCTCCCATTAAAATTACCATTAAAGTCTTACCTAAGTTATTCATTGCTCCCATTTAAACTACCAATGAAGTCTTACCTAAGTTATTCATTGCTCCCATTAAAACTACCATTGAAGTCTTACCTAAGTTATTCATTGCTCCCATTAAAACTACCATTGAAGTCTTACCTAAGTTATTCATTGCTCCCATTAAAACTACCATTGAAGTCTTACCTAAGTTATTCATTGCTCCCATTAAAACTACCATTGAAGTCTTACCTAAGTTATTCATTGCTCCCATTTAAACTACCATTGAAGTCTTACCTAAGTTATTCATTGCTCCCATTTAAACTACCATTGAAGTCTTACCTAAGTTATTCATTGCTCCCATTAAAACTACCATTGAAGTCTTACCTAAGTTATTCATTGCTCCCATTTAAACTACCATTGAAGTCTTACCTAAGTTATTCATTGCTCCCATTAAACTACCATTGAAGTCTTACCTAAGTTATTCATTGCTCCCATTAAAACTACCATTGAAGTCTTACCTAAGTTATTCATTGCTCCCATTAAAACTACCATGAAGTCTTACCTAAGTTATTCATCGCTCCCATTAAAACTACCATTGAAGTCTTACCTAAGTTATTCATTGCTCCCATTAAAACTACCATTGAAGTCTTACCTAAGTTATTCATTGCTCCCATTAAAACTACCATTGAAGTCTTACCTAAGTTATTCATTGCTCCCATTTAAACTACCATTGAAGTCTTACCTAAGTTATTCATTGCTCCCATTTAAATTACCATCGAAGTCTTACCTAAGTTATTCATTGCTCCCATTTAAACTACCATTGAAGTCTTACCTAAGTTATTCATTGCTCCCATTAAAACTACCATTGAAGTCTTACCTAAGTTATTCATTGCTCCCATTTAAACTACCATTGAAGTCTTACCTAAGTTATTCATTGCTCCCATTTAAACTACCATCGAAGTCTTACCTAAGTTATTCATTGCTCCCATTTAAACTACCATTGAAGTCTTACCTAAGTTATTCATTGCTCCCATTTAAACTACCATTGAAGTCTTACCTAAGTTATTCATTGCTCCCATTAAAACTACCATTGAAGTCTTACCTAAGTTATTCATTGCTCCCATTTAAACTACCATTGAAGTCTTACCTAAGTTATTCATTGCTCCCATTAAAACTACCATTGAAGTCTTACCTAAGTTATTCATTGCTCCCATTAAAACTACCATTGAAGTCTTACCTAAGTTATTCATTGCTCCCATTAAAACTACCATTGAAGTCTTACCTAAGTTATTCATTGCTCCCATTTAAACTACCATTGAAGTCTTACCTAAGTTATTCATTGCTCCCATTTAAACTACCATCGAAGTCTTACCTAAGTTATTCATCGCTCCCATTTAAACTACCATTGAAGTCTTACCTAAGTTATTCATTGCTTCCATTATAACTACCATGGAAGTCTTACCTAAGTTATTCATTGCTCCCATTAAAACTACCATTAAAGTCTTACCTAAGTTATTCATTGCTCCCATTTAAACTACCATGAAGTCTTACCTAAGTTATTCATTGCTCCCATTAAAACTACCATTGAAGTCTTACCTAAGTTATTCATTGCTCCCATTAAAACTACCATTGAAGTCTTACCTAAGTTATTCATTGCTCCCATTAAAACTACCATTGAAGTCTTACCTAAGTTATTCATTGCTCCCATTAAAACTACCATTGAAGTCTTACCTAAGTTATTCATTGCTCCCATTAAAACTACCATGAAGTCTTACCTAAGTTATTCATCGCTCCCATTAAAACTACCATTGAAGTCTTACCTAAGTTATTCATTGCTCCCATTAAAACTACCATGAAGTCTTACCTAAGTTATTCATTGCTCCCATTAAAACTACCATTGAAGTCTTACCTAAGTTATTCATTGCTCCCATTTAAACTACCATCGAAGTCTTACCTAAGTTATTCATTGCTCCCATTTAAACTACCATTGAAGTCTTACCTAAGTTATTCATTGCTCCCATTTAAACTACCATTGAAGTCTTACCTAAGTTATTCATTGCTCCCATTAAAACTACCATTGAAGTCTTACCTAAGTTATTCATTGCTCCCATTTAAACTACCATTGAAGTCTTACCTAAGTTATTCATTGCTCCCATTTAAACTACCATCGAAGTCTTACCTAAGTTATTCATTGCTCCCATTTAAACTACCATTGAAGTCTTACCTAAGTTATTCATTGCTCCCATTAAAACTACCATTGAAGTCTTACCTAAGTTATTCATTGCTCCCATTAAAACTACCATTGAAGTCTTACCTAAGTTATTCATTGCTCCCATTAAAACTACCATGAAGTCTTACCTAAGTTATTCATTGCTCCCATTAAAACTACCATTGAAGTCTTACCTAAGTTATTCATTGCTCCCATTAAAACTACCATTGAAGTCTTACCTAAGTTATTCATTGCTCCCATTAAAACTACCATTGAAGTCTTACCTAAGTTATTCATTGCTCCCATTTAAACTACCATTGAAGTCTTACCTAAGTTATTCATTGCTCCCATTTAAACTACCATTGAAGTCTTACCTAAGTTATTCATCGCTCCCATTTAAACTACCATTGAAGTCTTACCTAAGTTATTCATTGCTCCCATTATAACTACCATTGAAGTCTTACCTAAGTTATTCATTGCTCCCATTAAAACTACCATTAAAGTCTTACCTAAGTTATTCATTGCTCCCATTTAAACTACCATTGAAGTCTTACCTAAGTTATTCATTGCTCCCATTTAAACTACCATTGAAGTCTTACCTAAGTTATTCATTGCTCCCATTTAAACTACCATTGAAGTCTTACCTAAGTTATTCATTGCTCCCATTAAAACTACCATTAAAGTCTTACCTAAGTTATTCATTGCTCCCATTTAAACTACCAATGAAGTCTTACCTAAGTTATTCATTGCTCCCATTAAAACTACCATTGAAGTCTTACCTAAGTTATTCATTGCTCCCATTAAAACTACCATTGAAGTCTTACCTAAGTTATTCATTGCTCCCATTAAAACTACCATTGAAGTCTTACCTAAGTTATTCATTGCTCCCATTTAAACTACCATTGAAGTCTTACCTAAGTTATTCATTGCTCCCATTTAAACTACCATCGAAGTCTTACCTAAGTTATTCATTGCTCCCATTTAAACTACCATTGAAGT